GGCGCTAAGGCGAGAGCCACATTTTGAAAACGGGTGATCCTCAATCGGTGAAGCTTTTGCAAGTTTTCAGAACGACAGTGCGCGGCGCTGAGGCGAGAGCCACATTTTGAAAACGGGTGATCCTCTATCAGTGAAGCTCTTGCACATGTTTTGAACGAAAGTGCGCGGCGCTAAGGCCAGAGCCACTTTTCGAAAATGGGTGATCATCAATTCGTGAAGCTCTTGCACTGTTTTAGAATGTGCGCGGTGTTAAGGAGCCACATTTTGAAAACGACCCGCCCTCCATCTGTGAATATGTTGCCAATGTTTGAGCTTCAGAAGCATAATAGGTGAGGAAGTCTCAGGCGAAACGCTCGGCCCGCCCTACAAACTGAACTGGCTTCGGGGTGCGACAGGGAGAAGTTATTCATAAGGAAAAATAATGGAGGAGGAGGAGGAGGAGGAGGAGGAAGAGGAGGAGAGGAGGAGGAGGACAAGGAGGAGGAGGAGGAGGAGGAGGAGGAGGAGGAGGAGGAGGAGGAGGAGGAGAGGAGGAGGAGGAGGAGGAGGAGGAGGAGGAGGAGGAGAGGAGAGGAGGAGGAGGAGGAGGAGTAGGAGGGGGAGGGGGGAGTAGGAGGGGGAGGAGGAGGAGGAGGAGGAGGAGGAGGAGGAGGAGGAGGAGGAGGACGGGGGGGGTGGGGAGGATGGGACGGGCCGTCGAGCCAGGCCAGCGTCTTTGCCCCCTTCTGAGGCCAGCGGGGCAGAGCGGGGGCCCTAGGGTGCTTCCGTTGTGGCAGATGCGTTCGGGGCGCCGGTGAACGTCACAAGGCGATCGATTTTTACGGGAGCGCACAGATGGATTAGGGCACGAGGATGAGAATCAACCCGCACGGTCAGGATGGGCAACTTTCCCAAGGGTACCCTTGCCTCTTCGGCCCATCCTTGGCCGCTTCTGATGGCCACGCCCCGCTCGCCAAGTGCCGACATGGCCTTCCAAGGCCCCTGCATCCTTACCGCGCATCCTCACTATACGAGCTGACTGCAGCACGGGCCCCGTTTCCGTACAGCCTCGGCGCGCCCCGTCGCCAGATCAGCCGTGATTGGCCTCGTGTGCCGTCCCGATCCGTGGACCTGGAAGTCCACGCGCCAGACCCATGGATTCGTAATGCATGTCGTGCACCTGGCATCCGCCTCCGACAATGCTCCCACCCCCCTTCCGCACTCCCACGGGAACTTCCGCCCCGGGAGACCTGAGGTGTCCCCAGAGGCCCGCGGTGGTGGCCGCCTGCTCCGTCTGCCAGGCTCGTTTCTGTGCTGCCCCCCATCGCTCGTGCCTTCCAGCCACTGGCCTTCCTCCGCCTGCTCCCCTGCGAAGCCGTTTTGGCCCGGCCCGTTTTTGATCTGCGCCCGCTCCGCCGCTCTCTGCTCGGAGCACAGGGCGCGGCACGGACGGGCTTTCTCTCGGAGGTCCGCGCGCATGCTCTGGGTCGTGGTGCTCGGCCTGGCGCGCGAGAGGCGCGCCAGGGGAGATTGGGGGCCACGGCGCCCACCCTGGAAGTCCGCGCCGACCTCCGGAGGTCCGCTGGGATGTCCGCGGGGACTGCTAAGGGGACAGGGGGTTCTAAGTGGACGCCGAGGTTCTAGGCCTCCCAGGTGGGGTCCGAGTAGATGCGGCCGGAGGATGGCGCAGCATCGCCGATGTATTGGCGATGTGGCTCGATGTGGAGCCCGTGTTTTCCCACGCCGACGTCGCCGATGCGTCGCCGATGCATCGGCGATGCATTGGCGATGCGCCGCGATCCTTCGACCCCATCTAGTCGCACCCCATCTAGGAGGTCTCTATGAGGGGACAGGGGGTCATACAGTCAACCCGTATGATAAGGATGGGCAGCCTTCACAAGGGTACCCTTACATCCTCGCCTCCTCGGTCCATCCTTGCCCACTTTCGTTGGCCGCGCCCCGCTCGAAAAGCTTCGAAATGGGCGTCCAAGGCCCTGGCATTCTTTTCGCGCTTCCTTGTGCTACAGGCCGACTATGAGTGGATGCTGAGGTGGGTTGTGTCTGGTGTAAGCGAACTTCACAAGTGGGCTGCACGTGCCCCACGATGGCTTTGGTGGGTTCGATAGCTCAGCCAAGTGGGCGGAGCCCACTTGGTCCAGATCGTGAGCCACTTGGGGCACTTCTAAAACATTTGTAAGCTATGGTAGACCGTGCGCAGGCCACGCTAGCAGCCACATAGAACATTTCTATACCCTTAGCACCTCCCGCCGTCGTCCCAGTATGTCTGCAGTCGTGTCTGATGCGCAGGTCGGCCCTGCAGCATCAAGGACCGCCTGGTGCCTTGCCGACCGCTTGTCGTGTCCCCCTCACCTCTGGAGCACGGGCCTGCCCCTCGGAAGAGACCTGCGCCCCCCCTCGGGTGTCCATTGCAATTCGCCCGAGGCGGGGATTTTTCCATCACAACCGCCTGGGTAGTCCGCCTTCGTGGACGTCAGCAGGCGGTGGATACGGATAATTGCATTCAGGCCCGGGGGGTGGCTAACACATCATCCACCACCGCCCGCCGAGGTCCCTGAGGCCCGGTCCTCCAGGCGGCGGTGAAGGATGCACCCCCGCCTCGCAGATCAGGCCCGACCTTGAAGGAGGAAGCGCTGCATGTAATGGCCGTCGGCCCATCCCGCCACCGTGCATGTGCTCAGGGAAGAAAGCCTATTGGATATTCGTTGGGGTCTCGCGGCGGGCCTCTCGGGGGCCTCTTGGAGGCAGTTTTGACACCTCTTGGGGGCCGTCTTGGGGCCTCTTGGGGCCTCTGTTGGGGCCTCTTCGGGGCCTCTTGGGAGAGCAGCCTCTCGGGGCCTCTTGGGGGTCTCTTGGGGGCTTCTTGGGTTGGGGCCTCTTGTTCGCCTCTTGGGGCCAACTCGGGGCCTCTATGGGCGGAAGGCTGAGATTTTCGGTTCGTGCTCCCTCTCTTGGGCCCCTTCTGGAGCCGTCCTTTGGGGCGCTCTTTGGCCGTCTTGGGGCCCTCTTGGATGCCTCTTGGGCCGTGATGAAGTGGTCTTGAGGGCCTGATGGGCCTTGGAGCGTCGGAATGCCGTAAAGGGGAGAACGCCGAACCCTTCAAATCTCTGAGGAAATCAAGGTTTTGTGCGTCTTGGGGTCCTCTCGGGATGCCTCTTGGAGGCCTCTTTTGGCGTCTTGGAGGCCGCTTGGGCCATCTTGAGGCCATCTTAGGCATCTTGGAGCGATCGTTCGGCGACTCGGGGCCCTCTTGGACTCATGGGAGGATTCGGGAGGTCGCTTTGGGGGAGGGGGCACAGCGTCCACAGGAGGCCCAGGAAACACCTCAGAACTCACGGGTGCCACCCCGGAAAGCCCCGGAAAGTCCTGGGAAGCGATCGGTCCAGGCCCTGAAAGACTTACAGTTCTCGCCGCAGCAGCAGCAGCAGCAGCAGCAGCAGCAGCAGCAGCAGCAGCAGCAGCAGCAGCAGCACAGCGTCTACCTCTCAGTGTTGCATGAACCTCCGGGCGCTCCACTTCGCGCCAGAGGCACGGTGGCGGAAAAACGCAACAACTTTTGGAGCTCCTTTTCCGGGTCGGTGCAGGACCACCCAATTCGCAGCAGGCGTCGCCAGGGGGGCCAACGCCGATCCCAGAAATCCGCGCGGAGCTTTAACAAGTTTCTGTTCTCGCCGTCTTTTTCCCCCGCATGAGGATGCAGTTCCTGGGAGGCTCCATTCAGAGTCGGCGCTGGTATTTCCCTGGCCGGAAACTGTCGTAACATCTGGCTGAATACTGCTCCATCCCGTTTCATCACATGCAGCCCGACCCAATCCCGCTGAGTCCGGCTGAATCCCGCTCAGTCTGGCTCAATCCTGGACCTGATCCGGTCCAATCTGGCTCAGCGGCCCCTCGATCGGGCTTACAGTAGCCTTCCATCGTCATGACGAAGACCCCTCAGGAGTTGCCTCCGAACCTCGAGATCAGCCCCCACCGTCGCTACACGCCAGACCACTGGGGCACAACCAGAGGGCCGCAGGGTGCCTGCCATTCCCCGGGGGGGAGAGGGGCAGCCTAGATCATTCAGGAGGGGAAAAACATAGACACAATTAATCGTCCACTCCCAGGAAAAGATGGGAAAATATAGGAAGTGGGGGGGGAGACAAAAAACCCACAAATATGGGAAAATATGGGGAATCTCTTTCTTTGTGTGTATTTATTTGTGTGTCCTGGGGGCACTTTTCAATCATGGAGAAGGCACAGATGGAGCCCGTGCGCCCCCCAACCTCGGACTTCGGGACTTCGGATTGGGCTGGGTGGTCTGGCAGGTACAGTGGAGATCCATGCAAAGAGACGCCCTGCTTGCCTCCATGGTGCCCTGGGTTTCTTGGGTCTCGATTGCTTGCGATGGAGAGCGTGACGTTCCCACACGAGAAATCAACGGACATCCTGGTGCCTCAGGGTTGGGTTTCTTGCGGCAGGTCTCTTATGGTCGGGCCCCTACTGTAGTCAGACTGCGTTGAGTGGCTCTTTCTGGAAGCTCATTTAAACATGCATGGTGCACTTCTTTGCATTTTTGTATTGGCTCCTGAGGCCGCCGAAGGCCACTGAAGGCCGCTGAAGGCCGCGAGAGCCTGCCAAAAGGCGACTGCAGGTCACTAGCCGCTAATCTTCGACACAATCAAAGCCGCTAAAGGCCACTGAAGGCTACTAAACTGAGGCGGTGTCTGTTAGAATGAGTTCCCAACAAGAGCTCACGTAAATCGCATGCCGTGTTCATGTGTGCGTCGCCCTCCCAGGGGCGACGCGCGCACCGAGAAATCTTAAAGTAAATGCGTCGTGGCGGGCGCTTTCTGGCCACACCGCTCGGGAAACGATACACTTCAAGAGGGGTATACTATCTGCTCGGGTCGGACGCGCTCTTCCAAGGAGGGTGTGTGTGTATATATATATACATATGTATATATATACATATATATATATACTGTACACGGACAGTCGGGGCGCTGACGAAGGTACCTGTTTCGTTGGGGAGGGGCTCGGAGTTCCTTGATTGCTCTACTGTTTGCCTCAAATATTCCTGAGGTTTTTTTGCAGGGGACATCGAAGTTCAACCGATGGGACAAAGGGGCCTCGTTCCTTGTTATAAGATTCCTTAGGTCAACGCCCTGGCGGTACAGTCGGCCCAGATTAGATGGTCGACCCTGCCAGCTCCAGGGTACCCTTGTGTCCCGTGTCTCGCGACCCCTGCCTCCTGCATTCCTGTGGCAGTGTGGCCCTCGGAAGGGTCCTGTGCTTGGCATCGCTCGGACGTGTGCATATTTTCCTCGGTGGGGACCATCGAGGATCATCCTTGATCATCTGGCGAAAAAAACACGCACGAAACCGAACAACAACACAGGGAAGGGACGTCCGAGCGATGGCGAGTGTGCCCTCTCGCGTGTCCTGCCCGATCGAGCCCGACCTGTGCTGTGCTCCGTGCCTCCGGCGCGCCGCCCTGCGGCCATGGCCGCTCCCGCCCCCCGCCGCAGCCGCGCGGCACTGCTCGCCGTGCTCGGCGGGCTCGCCGCCTGGGGCGGCTCGCGGGCCTTCCTGTTCGGGGGCAGCGACCCCGAGCCGGGCTCCCCCGAGGCCATCGAGCGCGTCAAGGTCGGGCAGCGGTACACTCCGGTCGCTGGACGAGACTTTTTTGTTTTTCCTATCGTTTTTTTTTTTTTATTCTCTCTTTTTGGGCCCTCTTTCGCTTGACAAGACTTCCTCGTTGTTCGCCGGTCGCCGCTCCCCCCCCCCCCCCTCGTTTTTTCCGCTTTTTGGGCCTCCTGGGAGGCCCTCGTCGCCACCGCTGGGTTCCCCTCGAAGTCCTGGCTGGAACGCACCCTGGGAGCGGTCCAGGGAGTAGCGGTATCGTTACTTTCTGGTTTCCCCAGAAGTATGTATTTTTTCGGATAGCCACTCCCATATCTACGTCACGCGCCTTCCTCCTTCAAGAATCGACATGTGCTTCTCGTGCTTTGCTTTTCGTTGGGCGGGCCCGGACTGATCAACTGTTTCCGCCGTCCTACGTCATGTTTCCACCTACTTCTTCCGACTTGTGGGGGATGTTCTCGGGGCTTGCTAAGCGGATCAGATAGGCTGTAAGTGGATGCCAAGGTTGGAAGGTGGATTACATGTGGTTCGATCGGCGATGGGCCCCGACAGCGAATCCGAGCACTCCTGGGCTGGGCGGGCCACCGGGCCGCCCATCGGCGATGAGCGGGCCGTCCCCCAGCGAATCCGAGCACTCCTGGGCTGGGCGGGCCACCGGGCCGCCCATCGGCGATGAGCGGGCCGTCCCCCCCCCTGAGCATCTCCGTCCTGGTTGGCTTTCTCTGGCGGCCGTTCGGGACGGTCCGGGCACGCCTTGAACGCTATCGATGTGTAAGTCGATGAATGGAGAGGAAGCGTGCTGCCAACTAGTTTCCAGATGTCTAAAACGTATGTCGAAGATGCTTTAAATTATGTTTAAACATGTTTCAAGCATGTTTCTGAGATTTCCCGACATTTGAAACACACTTTAAATTCAATGATAGGATTGTTAGGGTGTCCATTGTCGTGGCATCCACAACGCTACCGGCGAGGCGCAGCCGCTTGAGAGGACCAGCTAAGACGCCCGAAAGCCTCAAAGCCTCGAGCCTCGAAGCTTGGGCTCGAGCAGCGCCTCCCTCTCTGAGCCCGCCCCCTCCCCCGCCCCGACGTCCCCCTCTCGCAAGGGGCTGCTGCTCAAGGCGGATGCGGTGTTCTTCGACGTGGACAGCACGGTGGGCCTCAGATCCCTTAGTGAACACGGCCTGGGACCGACACCGACGGACCCGGGCCCGCAACAATGACGGCCGCGACGCCCTCTCGCGAGCCGAAAACGGCCAATCCCTCCATCGACGTGCCAGGGTAGGAGGTCTGTCCGCGCAGCCCCTGGGAGAATTCGATTCGGCACCGGCGCCAGTCGCCCACCTCCCCTCGCTGCGGAAGCGGCCACGACGGGTGGTTTTCGCCAGTGGTCGGCCTCAGGGGAGCCTCCGCCCCCACCTGGCCCCCTGGCCGTCGACAGACGATTCAGGCTTCGTGGAGCCCACGTTGCGAACAATTGTGACTTCCGAGTATGGGTATATCCGTGGTCGAAAACCAGACGGGTCTGGCTAATCCTTTCGAAATCCTGCACGATCTTGCCTGATCCGGCTCAATCCTGGGCTTAAGTTGGGCGGGTCCGGCTGGCCCACCAATCGGGCCTAGAATAATTTCCCCTTGATCGTTCTTGCGAAGACCTTCCAGAAGTTTTCCCCTGAGGTGGTGAAGACGGAGGGTATCGACCTCATGGGCAAGTGCTTCGGGGTCATGAAGGAGATCGCCGCGTTGACCCACAAGGCCATGGACGGGAACGTGAAGTTTCAGGACCAGGGCTCGACCTTAACGGTGCTTTGGCGATTCAGTGAGCCGTGTTCGCTTGGGTGTCGTTTTGCAGCGAAGGCGAGCGAAGACAACGAGGGACAACGAAAACAAATCGAACCCGAAACACATTGCTCAGGCCGATCCCTGTCCAGGACGCCATGGCCGACAGGCTGCAGCTTATGGCCGACCACGGCATGACCAGGGACGGGCTGGAGGAGTGTGTCGTCAAGGAGGGTGTGCCCCAGTGGTCGCCGGGCGTACAGGAGTCGGCGGCGAGCGAGGGGGGGAGGAGGTGAGAAGGAGGAGGCCTTCTCGGAAGGAGGCAGGGTTTCTCAGCAGCCCCCCCGGCCTTCTGAGACGTCCTCCGTGTCTTCGGGGAAGCTTCGTAGGTTCTGCTCAGAAGGCCCGAGGCCTTCCGAGCCTTCTGAGGAGGCCCGCCCCTTCTCACTTCCCCCCCTGGGCGCCCCGCCGCAGGAGGTCGTGAAGATGTTCCACAAGCAGGGCACCGAGGTCTACCTCGTCTCTGGCGGCTTCAAGAACATGCTCTACCCCCTGGCGCTGGAGCTGCACATTCCCCAGGACAAGGTCCAGTATCGTTTAGCTTGATCATCCCCATCCCCACCAGGCCATGGTATTTGAGCCCCTTCAGCCCACCACCCGAGTTGGGGATAGGCTTCTTGAATCCCGAAGGGAACAGCCTATATCCCCATCCAGGGGGGTAAACCGGCCAGTGGTGCCCAGACCACGCCGGTGGGGATAGGGATCGGTTAAACAACTCTCAAAGGTGTATGCCAACGAGGTGCTCTTCGACGAGAACGGCGAGTACGCAGGCTTCGACAGGACTCGAGGCAGAACAGACACCGGAAGCAGAAGTTTTCGGAAGTCCGTGCGGGTGTCTCAGATCGGCGTTGGATCCCCTCATCCCTGGCGCGCGGAGCGTGCCGGGGGCGGCGCTGGAGGCGGCACCAGGTGGGTCCGCCGCCGGTCCGATCATCCGCGCGGAGCTCCGAAAGCTGATGTTTCTGACTGTGTCTGCTTCCTCCAAGGAAGAACCCTACGGCCGCCTCCGGCGGCAAGCCCAAGGTTCTCAACATGATGAGGCGCAAGCACGGCTACAAGACCATGATCATGTTCGGCGACGGGGCCACCGACATGGACGCGCGTACGCAGGGCCCGGCGGCGGCCTTCGTCGGCTACGGCGGAGTGACCGTGCGGCCGAACATCAAGGCGGGTGCGGATTGGTTCATCCAGAAGTGCAAACAACCGCATGAGCGTAAACTGATGGGCCAATTTTTCCACTACCACTACCATCAGCAGGACGAGTGAGAAGAGAGGATGGGGAGGTTCTTCTCCTCCTCCTCCTCCTCCTCCTCCTCCTCCTCCTCCTCCTTCCTCTCCTATGGTAGAGGTCGTAGAAAATCTGCCCATCATGAACTTCAGATCAGCCGTGGCGGCGCCCCAGCCTTGGCTTGGCCGCGCCTCGGGTGGCACCTCTGGTCGCTCTTCTCGTGCCAGGGAGGGACTCAGGGGCAACGATTAGGGGCTACATGCACAGGGGGGGATGCATCGACCCCCAATCGCGCATTGATCGCCGAGAGGGCTCTGATAGCCCCACCCCGCCCAGGAAGGTGCGGACTCTCTGTCCCGGACCCATCGCCGATCCGTCGGCGATGTATCGCCGATTCCAGGCGGATGTTTTTCCCCCCTGTGCCAGTCCTCCCCTGCCGCTGCCCCTCAGAGGGGGGGGGGGGTCCAGCTCCAGCCCACCCCTGGAGGTCCGCGCGGACCTCTGGGATCGGCCGTGGGGCTCCCCCCCCCCCCTTCCCTGGCGCGGAGAGGGCGGCCGGGGGGTGGCGCCCGGGGCGCGGCCGGACCAGCGGCGGGGGCGGCGCCAGGGCGCCGCCAGGGCGGGACTCGAGGCGGGCATGTCCCTCTACATGGCATCGCCGGGTGTGCATTTTTCCTTCGGCGAGGACCCTCGAGATCCTCGACCATCAGGCGAAGCACACACGGAACGGCAAAAAACACAGGAAATGGACGTCCGAGCGATGGCCAGCCTACAGCAAGAGCATTCAAGGATAGTGAGATCATAGTCTGGTGACGGTTTTCGTGTTCTTGTGATCGTACAACAGGTATAGTTTGACATGTTTCACTCTTCTTTCCCAACCCGCCCGTAGGAGGACATGCCCGACCTAAGGCTGGACCGACGGCTTGTGCTCATGCTTTTTGTTTAGTTCTTCTGCCGTCACCAGTTTTCAGGAGATTCTGGACGTGCTCCCTAAGGGCCACGCGCTCTGAGCTTCACCTGGCGCGTTCCAGTACTCGCAGAGTGCCGACTCGCAAACGTCCGAAAAGCACATGTCAGCATCGATGCAGTGTATTGTGATGTATTGTAAATCCTCCATGGCGGACCCAGGCCATTTGCGAGTGGTTATTCAGCGAGTGGTGGAACGCGCTCCTCTAGAACTGATCCTGACACGGAATTAGCGGATAGGTTTTGGTCTTGGTAGGTCCGCCTTCTGAGCAGGCCAGCTCGTAATACCCACAATAGTCTGCCAAGCTACAATTTTCGGCGGGCCTGAATTGAACGAGCTCAAGAAAAGAAGTGCCTTGCACGATCTTTATATCTCAGACATGTCAACATGTCGTTTGGATAAATGTGTAATGTGTGCAGACGGTGCAAGTAAGTATCAGTCGATAGTATTGTGAGTCATACGTCTTCTCACTTGAGTAGCTGTTGCACGTGTTCATGTTCAGAACACAACCTTTGGAAGTCTCTCTCGGCATCTTCATTTTGAAAAGGAAGTCCCATACAGCCGTGTGATCGTTGCACACGTTCTTGTGTACTTAATTCAGAGGATGTGTCAAGCAATAGCCCCATGTTGGAAGGGTTGTCGCCCTCCACTCACTTAACTGTTCCAAGTCGAATGTGCGCAATGCAGTGCGATAACCACATCGGAAATTGCGTCATCTGCATCAGTATAACTCGAAAGTGTGCGGCGCCAAGGCGAGTGCCTCGGTTTCAGACCCATCACCCTCCACACGTATGAGCGCTAGGTTGTTCAAGCTCCCGGATCGTACATGGTGAAGGTGTCTCGGGCGCAACGACTTACCCGCCCTACCGATGCACCTGGCCGTGCAACGAGAAAGAGCGATACGTGGAGGTCGGTCGGGCCGGGCTCACCTATTCTTTGGCCGCCACTGTAAGCGTGAGAGGAGGAGGAGGTGGAGGCGACGGGGGGGAGGAAGAGGATGGAAAGGAGGAGGCTGACGAATGTTGGAGGGAACAGGGGGATGAGAGGGTCGAAGAGGCGACCTGCAATTCGCAGTTGCAGCTTCTTCGGGAACTGTCAGGTTTACTCTCCTCCGCCTGCTGCTGCTGCTGCTGCCGCTCCTTCTCCTCCTCCTTGTCCTCGCCCTCCTCCCCCTCTCTGTCTCCTCGTTACTTCTCCTCGTCGGCTAGTGCTTTTGTTGCTGCTTCACCCCTCCCAACTAGTACCCTCGCCGCATAGTTTCCAAAGGCGGCCTGACCCAGCCCAACTCTCTTCGTCCTCGTCGTCCTCCTCCCAGGGACCCTTCACTGCGAACTTCACCACTTGTGGGCCGGGCGTGCAGAATCGGTTGGGGGGGCGGCCGCCAGCTGGCGAAGAGTCTGCACGCGAGACCATGCCCCGCCTCCTGGCAGAGAGGGGGAGGGAGAAGGAGGGATGATGCACTCTCTTCCTGCCCCGCGTATCCCCACTTGCGCACACTGAAACGAGGCCCATGAACGTTGCTTGGATGAGGGGGGTGAAGGGGGGGAGGAGGATGAGGAGGACACCGATGATGAGGAGGAGGGAGAGGAGGAGGAAGAGAACCAGGAGGAGGAGGAAGAGGAGGAGGAGGAGGAGGCTGATGATGAGGAGGAGGAGGAGCAGGAGGATCATACCGAACAACGGATAACGATGATGACAAACATGATGAGTATGAGGAGTATGAGGGGGAAAGTGGACCAACCTGATGCCTTCGCGTATCTTTCATTGTGAGAGCCTCTTGGAGGACTCTTGGGGCCATCTTTGGGTCTCCTTGGGGTCTTCCGTGGGACTGGATCGGGTCCTCCTGGGACCCTCTCGGGACTGCTAACAAGTGTTTTGAGGCCCCGCAGGGGGTTTCCTTGGGGGGTCTTGGGGTCTTCAATCTTGTGCCCATATGGCTCAAAGGGGGAGGGGGCTGACTTCGATGCCGCCTCCCCCCCTCTTGGGGCTTTGGGCCGAAAAGGAGGAGCAAGAGGAGGATGATGATGATGATGATGATGATGATGATGAGGAGGAGGAGGAGGAGGAGGCACAGCGTGGACAGGGGCCCAGACCCGGGCCCCGACGGGTTGCGCACGCGTTGGGGCCCCAGCCCGAATTCCGAAGCCCAACAGCTCTAGAACTCGTCGTCCTCCCACGGTCGAGACCAGGTAGTGATCGTTTTTTATTAGTTGTTCTGCCAATCGGCGCGGGCCCCAAAACCGCCCCCCCTCACCCCCCCTATGGAGTGGATCCTGGCTGCTTTTTGGCGTCTGCTTCGAGCGGGTGGAGTCTCCCCCCAGAGACCGCACTCTCGCAAACAGTCGCACTGAGCAGAGATCCGGAGCCAGACCCCCCCCCCCCTGCCCCCTCCCTCTCCGCCCGGTGTCGAAACGCCGAGTGAAACAACCGCTCACCTCGTCGTCCTCCCCCAGTCCAGGCCAGATCATTCGTCGGAGGACGGGCGTGCAGGTTCCACCCGCTCCTCCCGTGGAAAGCTGTCGTGACCAGAAGGGGGAATGTCAGGAGGGAACAAAAGCACACAGACACAATGAATCGGCGATCCCCCAGAAAATATGGGAGCATATGGGAAGTGGGGGGAAGACAAGCACCCAGAAGATATGGGGAGATATGGGGAATCTTTTTATTTGTGTGTATCTATTTGTGTGTCCTGGAGCCCCTTCAGAAGGGATGGCCAGAACGATCGAACTTGGTCCGGAAACAACGGGTACACCGTTCCTGCCCGTGCTGCGCAGGGCTCGCGGTCGGTGTCGCCGCGGGCGGGGCACATTGTGAGACAGAAGGCGTCCTGTCCAGCAGCGGCCTCGGCCGATTTTGGACAACATGTGTGGTTGGGCATCGGACCCATGATTTCCGTATGACGATCGAACAACGTGCACCCATACCCATATGGGGGACGGAGGAGGCTATGGGTGCGTGTTGTCGGATGGGGGTCCCTGCTCGAACAAGAGCTTCCCCCAGGGTCCGACAACTCGCACCCATACCCATAGCCAATTCCCCTCCTCTCGACCCTCCTATGGGTATGGGTGTGAGTTGTTCGCTCGTCATTCCGTACCCATGTCTGGCGTCCGAAGGGACGGGAGGAGGCCCGAGGCGCACCTGCAAGCTTGCCAGAATACTTAGTCGTTGAGGGCGTGCGGCACTCGAGCGGATGCCCGTGGATACCCCGAGGCAGTATTCGACAATTCGACCCTCGATCCTCGAACCTGGATCCTCGATCCAAGACCTCGATCCAAGACCTTGATCCTCGATCCAAGACCCCGATCCAAGACCTCGCTCCTCGATCCAAGACCTTGATCCAAGCCCTCGATCCTCAAGCCTCCTTTCTTCGCGCTTGCCTGCGCGCGGCCCCGTCACCCGGGCGCTGTCTCCAGGGGTTGGAGGCGGGACCCGAATGAGTGGGGGGGGGGGAGGAGGTGGAGGTGGAGGAGTGCAGGAGTGGGAGGGGGGGGGGATGGAAGAGGACGGGGAGAGGGGGGAGGAAGGAGGAGGAGGACTTGTAGGACCAACTTGGCCCGGTCGAACGGATCAGCGGGACCCGCCCCTTCCCCCCCCCCCTCCCCCCCCATGACATCACAACAACTTGTGACTCAGTTTGATCTTGGGGATTGGAACGCGTTCCCCGCTCGCGTGCGGTTCCGCTCCCGACAACCTCGCAGACAGAAAATCCTGCGCGGGCCGTGCGAGGGCGGGAGCAGCGCAGCACCTCCGAGGAGCGCGGCGAAGACTGGGCACGTGCCGCATCGGCTCGGCACTGCGGCTTCCCGCGCACGGCGCAGGGCGCTTTGTGCGAGGGCAGCCTGTCGCCCGCCTTCGCGCGGACCCTGAGCCGTTGGCACACCGTCGGGGCGCTGAAGAAGGAACCCTTTTCGTTGGGGAGGGACTCGGTGTTCCTTGATTGTTGTTTCCTTGATTGTTGTGCAATTTGCCTTAGGTTTCCCCAAGGTTTTCCGTGGGAAATCGAAATGAACTTTTTGGAAAAAGGGGCATCGTTCCCTATTTCAGGTTCCTTGGGTCAACGCCCCGACTGTACGACTCGGCGAAGGAGACATCGCCGCGCCAGCGTGGGAGAGCGCCACCTCCGAGCGACACGCGCGCGTGCAGCCGGGTGGGGGCGACACGGCGCCCGCTCGCGCGGGGCCCCCGAGGCCTGGCGGGTGGCGAATCTATGCGTCCTGCCGAGGCGGGGGCGCCACGGTCGAGCGAAGTCTGCTCGGAGCCGAGGCGAGAGAGCCACGTTTTCCTCCGCCCGCGCGTCGACGATGTGGCGTGCGAGCACTGCGCCACGCGCCCGAGCGGGAGCTCATCTCCTGGCGCCGGGGCGAGAGCGACGTGGCGACCCTTCGCCGGGGACGTGCGGCCCGTCCCACCGTGCGGAGAGCAGCAACGGCGACATTGTGTTGGCTTTCACAGGTCGGAGGGGGAGGAGGAGGAGGAGGAGGAGGAGGACGGAGGAGGAGGAGGAGGAGGAGGACGGAGGAGGAGGAGGAGGAGGGAGGAGGAGGAGGAGGAGGAGGAGGCGGAGGCGGAGGCGGAGGCGGAAGTGGAGGATGAGGATGGGGTTGGCTTCAACAGGTCGGATGGACCTCCCGGATGGGGGTGCTATCGGCCGGTTACGAGGTAAAGTAGGAGTATTTGGACGTCGCGGATGGGAGGGCGATGCACAGGGGGGTTGGGGGCAGCGAGGGCTGCATGAAAGATGGCCCTTTGGAGCCCCTGAAGGGGCCCTGGAGGGCCCAAAAGGGAGCATCGAAGGATCGAACTGTGTACCCATCCCCCCCCCCGTTTGTCGCCCCTCCATCAAGCGACACCCAACAGCTAGGTGGTACATTCGGAGTACATATTAATGAGGGATTAGGATGGGAAGAAGGAGGAGGAGGCGGAGGAGGAGGAGGAGAAGGAGTTGAAGTGGAGGAGGAGGAGAAGGAGGAGCATGAGGAGGGAGAATGAGAAGGAGAAGGAAAAAGGAAGAGGAGGAGGACAAGGAGGAGGAGGAGGAGAAGGAGGAGGAAGCTGAGCCCTGTGAGGGCTAGAGTGGACGAACTCCTTCCGAGGCTACGTCTGAGGAGGAGAAGGAGGAGGAGGAGGAGGAGGAGGAGGAGGAGAGGGAGGAGGAGGAGGAGGAGGAGGAGGAGGAGGAGGAGGAGGAGGAAGGATACTAATACGACGAACAAGAAACACATCATACTAATAATCATAATAATGAAGAAGGAATCAGACCAATACTAAGACTAGTAATACTACGAACAAGAATAATACTACCACGGCTAATAATAATAAGAATAACAAGGGGCACGCGTGCCAAGGA